TTGAGCAAGCTTTTGTGCGTTCGGAGTTGGAGGAAGACGTGTACATGCGTTTGCCGCTGGGATGTGGAGCTCTATCTGGAATGATTGTAAAACTAGGCAAGAGTCTGTATGGCTTGAGACAGGCATCTAGGCAGTGGCATGCAATGCTGAAGAGGTGTTTGGTGGCGTTAGGATTTGAGCAGTGCATGGCCGATGCTTGTGTGTTTCGTTTGATTGAGGATGGATGTATTGTTTTGATTTTGGTAGTACATGTAGATGACATTATTGCTGTTGGAGAGAGGGAGAGATGTGATAAGTTTGGCCCCGACCTTAACAAGTCCGCGCCAGGCCAGTGAAGAACCTGGGAGAGTTGAGATGGTATTCTGGGTGCTTTTACGAGAGGAATAAGGAGACCGGTAGGTTGACGATTTCTCAGCAGACTTTCACGGACGAGCTAGCAGCAGAATATGGAGTAGTGGGAGGTAGGAGCGTTCCGATGTCTTCGGGGGTGAAGCTTTCTGATTTTGATGCGGATGAGGTGGCGACAGACTTTCCGTTTCGTGAGCTGGTAGGATCGTTGATGTGGCTGGCGACTCAGACTAGACCAGACATTGCGAATGCAGTAAGGGCAGTAGCTAGGTATTGCGCATCTCCGACGCTGGTACACTGGAATGCAGCGATGGATATATTAGGCGATGCGAGGAGGACGAGTCACTTTGGTATTTCGTTTCAGAGAGGTACGGTAGAGGGATTGAGCTTGCAGGGATACGCTGATGCGGACTTTGCAAGCAAGGCAGCAGACCGTAGGTCGGTATCAGGGGGGATCGTGACGTGTGGAGGAGGCGCTGTGTCTTGGTTTTCCAGAACGCAGAAGTGCGTCACGCTTTCGACGACAGAAGCAGAGTACGTCGCGCTAGGCGACGTAGTGAAGGAGATTTTGTTTTTGAGGCAGATTTGGCGTTTCATGTTGCCACAGGTCGGCATGCCGTGCAACCCCGTCTTCGAGGACAACCAGGGAGCGATTCAACTAGCGCAGAACCCCATCTCAAACTCGAACTCGAAGCACATAGATGTAAGGCACCATTTTCTCAGGGAACTGGTAGAGAGGAAGGAAATTTCGGTCATTCACGTGCCGTCGCCGTACCAGCGTGCAGACTTCCTTACGAAGAGTTTGTAGAAGGATGCTTTCGAGTCTCACCGTGATTTTATGATGAATTTGGCATGACCATTTTATTGTTTTTCTGATAGGTTGTGTTTTGGTTTTGTTTTGCTTCTCGTTTTGTTTCCCGTTTTCTTTCATTTCCCGCGCCAAGTATTTGTTACGCGCGATGCAGCATTCATATTCCTTTGAATTTTTTTCTCTCTCTTATATTATTCTGGTAAAGTCTTGGTGGCATATCGTCTGGGAAAGACGTCTTTTGGTTGAGATATCGGGTGTTAGCGAAGTTTTCAGTGAGAGACTGTTACGAGCAGGGGGGATGTTAGATATACTCGCAGCAGTATCTGGTCGTGAGGATCCCAGGGGATACGTGTTGGGATTTTCGTGTGTAGTAGGGTACCACCGGTGCAGTCACGGGGATTCTTTTGGCGTGGTTGGTGCGATGGAGCTTNCGCGCCAAGTATTTGTTACGCGCGATGCAGCATTCATATTCCTTTGAATTTTTTTCTCTCTCTTATATTATTCTGGTAAAGTCTTGGTGGCATATCGTCTGGGAAAGACGTCTTTTGGTTGAGATATCGGGTGTTAGCGAAGTTTTCAGTGAGAGACTGTTGCGAGCAGGGGGGATGTTAGATATACTCGCAGCAGTATCTGGTCGTGAGGATCCCAGGGGATACGTGTTGGGATTTTCGTGTGTAGTAGGGTACCACCGGTGCAGTCACGGGGATTCTTTTGGCGTGGTTGGTGCGATGGAGCTTGCTTGCGTGCGTGCTGCGCACTTCTTCTTCTTCCCTCTCTCTCCACCACCACCACCGTCTCTCTCCAATCACGTTTCCTTCTCCCACTCTCTCTCCAACTCTCTCTCAACCTCTCTCTCTCGGTCTAACACGGCCGACTACCCAGTGCCCCAAGTAACGTCCAGAACGTGCTTGCTGCACCCCGCGTAGTTTACCTTTCAAGCGTGTTGGCAAACTCGTGGCTTCTGGGGCAACATTTCTGGTACCCTGGAGTTGGTATATGTGAGTCCTGACAGCGAGTTTTCTGTAGAGTTGGAGAACGTATTGTAATCTCCCAACGTGGGATCTCTTTGCAGATCGAACCATCTCAACCAATGATGGTAGGTTTTCATCAGCACGCACACTAGCAAGGAAATCTCTGAAAGCACCCCCAGCATCTGATTTAATTCTCAGGAAACACAGCCATGAACGTCTAGTGAAATCATCCTTCACTATCATGGGGTAATGTTTACCCCCTACGTACGCAACGTCCTTCCGTCCTCCCAGGTCAACAAAAACTCTGCCCGACGTTTTGTCTGATCTGCGTACAGTTTCACGAGCAATTCCTTTCCTGAATGCCTTCGACATCGAACATCCCGTGCAAGCATTCAATTCACCACTCAACTCAGTACCCAGTCGCTTTGCAGTTGTACGAAGCAATCCCTCATGGGCATGAGCATAAATGTTATGGAACTCGTTCACATCCATCTTAGTTTCATGCTTGGTGTTCGAAGGAGTGAGGGCAGCCAACACCGAACCAATTGAATTATCTTCGAGACGATACGCAGTCGCAATCAGCATACCATCGAATTCATGGAAAGTGACTTGTTCGTGGAAAGCAGTCATCACTCTTTCAGGACCACCAAGAAGGTAATTCCATGATTCACCGTCGAACTCTGCACTGGGAGAAAAGAGGTTGTATCCCAAGTTGGGAGACTATAATACGTTCTCCAACTCTACAGAAAACTCGCTGTCTGGACTCACAAACACCAACTCCAGGGTTCCAGAGAATGCTACCTCACAAGTCACGCCACCAATCCCTTGTACATTCTTATCGCATGGCTTCAGATTCTTCATGCAAGAGAGACGGTCTGTCATGTGGAAAACTGTACCCGTATCCGCATCCCAATCTTCGATGCGACTGTCCCTCCTAGCAATAGAAGAATATTTGCGGAAAGCACCATCTCTACGCGAGTTCTGTCTCATCACTTCGTTGTAAAATGCCTTCATACGCGCACCATACGATTTTGGCAGATTGTCATGACATGGGATCACGAAGCTAGACTTCCATTCATTGTCGAAACCTTTTATGATTTCGCAGCATGCGAAACCTTTCATGGCTTCGCAACATAACGTTAGAATTCTCACCGCTCTCGTCCTCATCGTCCTTGGATTTCCCAGTCTGGGAGGGATGAGGGATCACACGAGCCAGGCAGTCCGATCCCATGTGGCCCTTCTCCCCACACTTGAAACGCGTCCCCTGGAACTTCTTCTTGGACGAATCAGATCCAGAGTTAGTTTTCGACTTGGAGTGGTTTGATTTCTTGCTACTCTTCTTTTCTCCCCTAGACACAAGAGCAACACTGTGCTTCTTCACATTCACTTGTATCTGCAAGGCAAGGTACCTCTCGCGTACTTTCGTCTCGATGAACACAGGGTTGTTTGGGCAAAACACTGATCGATAATTCGGGTGGCTCAGTTGTGTGCGATGGGAGTGTAGAGC